TCAAAATTTAAATGCAATTTGAATCGTTAATTGTTACATCTCGCCATTTCAACTGTAAATCTAGCTACAAATCTGGTACAGTGCTTAAATTTATAAAGTCTCTTTATATTGAGTAGATTTAATTGTTCTTAATTCTTGTACTTTTATTATTCTCACTCCTTACTGGGTTTCTTTTTCTTATTCATTCAGTAACCCATTGGGTCTTAGTGGCTTTATTGCCTTGCTTGGAGTGAATTTATTAAAATCAGGTGATGTAATTCTACTAGAGCAGTCAGATTTTCGATCAACTCTCATGAAATAAAGTCATTGAAAAATTTTAAAATGTTAAACCATAAATAGAATTATCATTAAAAAAGAAATTAACAGTAGATTTATATGACATTTCACTGAAGAAAGTGTATATCGACATATTGTAATATTACGATTGTCTTAAAATAAAATAGTCTTCCAGATAAAAGATATTATCGTATATCACCAGCTGTACTCGATGTATATTTAACGAAACGAAATTCAGATTTATGCTAGATTGTTTTAATTAACGTATTTAAAAAAAAAAACAACAAAAAAAAACAAACACTAAAAACAAAAACAAACAAAAATCATAAAACGATTCCATTAGTCTCGGAATATGATCTAAAGAAAAAAAAAAAAAAAAACTTCCGGTAATTTTAGACCTTTTTGTACTTGCATTCATATAAAACACATTTTAAATATTTGGATACTATTAAAATATTTAAAAAAATCTTTCAATTTTTCTCGACTAAGCTTTCAAGCAACTAATATTTCCAGCACTTCCTGCCTACTTTAAACGAGGCCAATGGGGAAAAACACACCATATTTAGATAAGGTTTGAAATATATGTAAGATAACAAAATAAAACAAAAAAACTATTTGCCAATAATGGAGAGTTTCATATATCAAGTGTCATTTAGAATTGATTATAAAGTTTGTCGATTGTCACGAATGCCTACAGCAAATGCCTGAAGATTTTTATTCAGCAAAATTATTGTTTGAGATTAAGGTCCCCTCTGTATGTTCTAAACATATAATCATGCGTATCTACGCTTATTTTAGAGGCACAAATATATTTACAGTCACTTACATATAAGTATTATACGTAGGCATATTATTATATATATGTTTGCAAATATATATATATATATATATATATATATATATATATATATATACATATATATATATATATATATATATATATATATATATATATATATATATATATATATGTTCATATTTACTAAATCTCAGTGTGCATTAAAATTTAGGAATGAATATATTTTTGTAGATATATTATTCTATCAGGTATACGATTTATAAGATCTGCTATCATCTCTTATGGTATATCTGAGCGTGTTGCATTGTAAAAAAAAATTAATTATTTTTCGAAGTTTTTCCAAATATTTTCTTTTTTATTGTTGTTAGACAAAAATAACCCTAACCTCTAGGAAAATTGATAATTTCTAGCTTTTCACATGAATCCTAATTTACTTAGAGTACAAGTAAAGAGCAAAATGTATGTAGATATTGCTTAACCAAAAGTTTGGTTTGAACTGCCTGCAGTTTGCTTAAAAACAAGGCTGAGTTTATTGCATAATTTTTGGCTTTGTAATATTTCTCCTCAAAACTTTTTCTAGTCGGTGTGTGTGAAATATCGTTTCAATATTAGTCAGGATAAATACGCCGTATTATTAAATAAAGGTTAATTGTCTAGAAAAAAAATTACATATTTTATGGAGGTAGCGATATTTTCATCGGGACCGCTCAAATCTGACCCGTTCAACACGATGTATATATCGATAGTTTATTGACCGAAACAATATGGATGAGTACAAAATGAGCAATATTCATGAATAGAAATGCCCCTGCCAATAGCATGAGTATAATCCTACAAGACTATTTGCTATAGAAGAGTTAATTCATATAAATTTCTCACAAAATTGAAGTTAATTTTGAGTTATGTTTTTCTAGCAGCTACAGTATTGCATAAAAGTAGCTCTAGTGAAACTTTCCGTTCTCCTTATTTCCATATCTCATATATTGTATGTGTTATGACTTTTCCTTCACCGAAGTATGTAAAGGATTTAGAATTTTTCAATTTTACATTCTGAATTTTTATGATAGACTAGCAGCATGGCCCGGCGTTGCCCGTGCTTGATTAAAAAATCGTACGACTCATACAGCAATAACTATCACTTGACTTAAAATATTTTTGCACTTCCTTGCCTTTAAAGGAGTGCCTTTTGCCGTGCTGATGTTGCTACAGGCCTTACTTCTTAACTATCTCACACTGCGAATTTTTTCTAAGCTCTATACTAAACATTAAATCTGTTAAGAAAAAAGAACAAAAGGATCAGCTTTAAAAAAGAACTCGTAACTGGAAAAACCGAATGAACAAAGAATGTTAACAACAAATACTTTTACACACCCAACCCAGTTCTGCGGAATCAGAATCAACGTTGAGTTTAAGCACGCGAATGAGCCAATTAGAGTAAAGTGCCATGTAGATTTAAATTTTTCCCACTTGTGACGAATGCAACTATCGATGTTTTTTTGCATGCTAGCATACTAGTTAACATTCGTGTCAGTCAGCTGTTGGCTCTCACGCTGGCCAATAGAATATTCCTACCTATTCTTGGCAGCCAGCTATAGGCTCTCATTCTGGCCAGTAGAAAATGGCCCCAAACTACATGAAAACTGCCGTAGAAGCATGAAAAAAAATCGATTATTTCCACTATCGATGGGAGTTGGGAAATGCAAAGTCGGTCTTGACCTTCCACTAACTTGGAACATGTGCATGTAAATTTTGGTGCAAATCCGCCTAAAATTGCGGCCGTGCATTCGTTACACACACACACACACACACACACACACACACACACACACACACACACACACACACACACACACACACACACATCGTGCTTTTATAGATAGAGATTCAGGCTAAGTGTTGTAGCTATAAAAAGATAAACCCTATGTAAAAATAATATTGTTTACAAATACTAATTCCATCTGGGAGATTGAATCCCCAATATCAAAAATTAAATTCTTACATCGGATACACTCTTTCGTGGGTTGACTTGTCAAATATCCAAAAGCAGTACAATTCGTGCATATATCAACAACCAAAACACAATGGTCAACATAAGATAAATATTAGAAGATAATACCCCAATACTATACAGCACCCAATGCAAGAAAAGGCACGAAGTCGGAGAAGATACTTT